TCTGAATGATTTTAACTTTTCTTTGAAACTGCCTTTCAACCATTTTAATGAAGTGTATGGTGACAGAATGAACATCAACTTTGGATTTCAACAGGAAGAGCCATGTATATCTGGACTTATGATCAACAAAGCTGATGTAATATTTGTATCCATTTCTAGAAGCAATTGGGGAGGGTCCCCAAAGGTCAGTATATATGAGATCTAACAAATCATATTGATCACTGGTGGAATCAGAAAAGGGTAAGGCATGGCTTTTACCTTTCATACAAGGTTCACAAATAAAATTTATTTCATCATCATTGAAACTGAGATTACAATATTTCATGATTCTCTTAACAGTTTCAAATGAAGGATGTCCTAGTCTTGAGTGCCAATCAGAAAAACTAGTTCTAGACTTAGCTTCTACTACATTCACTTCATGGAATGGTCTTTTATTGAAAGCATGAAAATTCAGGTGGGGTTGACTCTCTTCTCCACAGTGCCTAGATAAGTTGAAGGTGTACAGGCCATTTTTTAGCTTTCCCTCAAGTAAAGTTTCCCTTGACTGAAGATCCTTCACAAGACAAAAGTTGGGGTGAAATTCAAAATACACACCATTATCCTTGGCAAATTGAGACACACTTATCAGATTTTTGGTGATATTTGGAACATGGAGAAGATTATTAAGACAAAAAGTTTGATTTGACTGTGAACTGATTATAGTATTACCAATATGAGATATGTGCAAACCTGTTCCATTTCCAATTTGGACCTTCTCATTTCCTTGGTATTCTGAGGCTATGTTGAGATTTCCAAGATCATAAGTCACATGATTGGTAGCCCCAGAATCTGGAAACCAATATGAATCTTGATATGAATCTGCAGTGCTGTTGGTGTTTGACTGGTTGTTTGAGGTCTGTTGAAGTTGAGTCATATTGACTTGGCCTCCTGAGTTGAAGTTCTGAGGATTGACATTGGGGGTGTAGTTCAAGTCTGCTCTATAAAAGCATTTCTCTGCAGTGTGGTTTGTTCTGTGGCAGATTTGGCATGCATTTCTCCAGGATCCTCTTCCTCTACCTCTTCCATTTGGTGTTCTGCCTCTTCCTCTATTTCTAGAAAATTGGCCTGGTCCTCTGCCTCTGAAAACTTGGTTGAAGGGAGCTCTTTTGTTTTGGGTGACAGTGTTGACAGATGGTGAAGACCCTTCAGTGATGAATGATCCTCCTTCTATGCTTTCAAGTCTGCTTTCTAGGCTGAGAAGAAGTGAATGTATTTCCCTGAGGGAATATGGCTCTATCCTTGATTTAACTGAGACCATGACTGAGTTATACTCACTTCCCAAGCCTGTCAATATGTAGGAGATGTGTTCTTCTTCACCTATCTTTTGCCCAGTTGCACCCAACATATCACAACAAGATTTAATCTTGTTGAGGAACTCCCTCATGGATAGATCTCCTTTCTTTAAGGTCTGCAGTTGAAGTCGATATTGCATGACTTTTGCTCTAGATTGAGTAGCAAAGCTATTTTCAAGTGTTTCCCAGACTTCCTTTGAGTTGCTGAGACCTACAGTGGTGACCAAAATAGACTCATTGAGTGAGGATAGAATCCAAGAGAACAAGAGTTGATCTTGTCTTTTCCAAGCAACATATTCTGGATTGAGTGCTTCTTGTCCTTCAGAGTTGGAGATGAACTGATTTGGAGATGACTTTGTGCCATCGATGTAGGAATCTAGACCATAGCCATAAATGGCTGCCAGAACCTGCTGCCTCCAAACAAGATAATTATTTTCAGAGAGTTTAATGGTGATGAGGTTTCCTTGAGGTTGAACGATGGGTGGAGGCTCCATGTTTCTGGTCACTAGGCTTTCTGCCATTGAAGAAGAAAAAGGAAAATTTTAGGTACGAGCCCAGGTATTACCCTGGAGCTCTGATACCATGATGAACAATCGACATTAAATTCATGCAGAAAAGCTTAAAAACAATAATATCAATAATGAGAGAATGATGTGTGGTACAATTGCGGCTGCTCAACCTTACATATATATAGAGAGGGTAAAACCTAGAAAACCAGCTAAGGGAAGAAAGGAATCTAAGGGGTATATTCCCAATTCAAAAACAAAAACATAAGAGTGAGAGAAATAACTAATGAGGGGCCAGCTTCATTTGTTTTCTTGTGCACGTGAGCATGCATGGACTTTGCATGCTATTTTCTTCCATCACCAGGTCATCATGTGAGTTGGCAAATGTCTTCACTTTATCAATTACTTATGTTTTAACAATGTTTTAAATATCATACCGTACAGGCCGGTATTACCGGTAATGCCGGATACCGGTAGTCTTACCGGTATACACTCTAAATACTGTTTTTGTCAAAATACGGTTTCATATCAGAAAATACTAGTTTTACCGGTAAAAATACCGGTGTATGCCATTTTTTTTAAAAAGATCAATATATTTTTATTATTTTTTTTTATATAAATTGAAAGTTTTACACTTTATTTTAATATGTTTACATTGTTACTAGATCTTAATTAATTTTAGTATTAATTAAAATTAGTTAAGTACATTATTTATATTATAATAACAAATTAATTTAATATTTATTAATACTGGTAAAGTAGACGGTAAAAATCGGTTGAACCATGTATTGTTGGCTCGTCCGATATAATAACCGGTAAAATATTTAAAACACTGTGTTTTAATTAATATTCTCCCATGTTTTTTTGCTATTTTGTCGCTAGCCCTAGGTTTAATGCTCATTGTTTAGTAATTTTTTATCTATTATGTGGCGGGTTGGCCCGCCTAGCCCGTTGATGGGTTGGGCCGGGCTGCCATTTCACAGGGCCTTAGAGATGGCGGGCCGGCCCGCCATGCCCTTCAAAACGACGGGTTTTGACGGGCTGTGGGCCGGCCCGCCCTGTAGGCCGTTTTGACATGTGTTCCCGTTACCTTATCACACGACGTTGTATGCGCCGATCACCCACCTCGAGGCACTGCTACCTTTAAGAGCATCTCCAATGATGGAAGTGAATTGTGGTCTATAATGGATGACTTCTCTCCATGGGTAGAATAGAATGACAGGTTCATAAATAACTCTACAATGGTCTACACACACTAAATGTCTATGCAAGTTTTTTTTTTTTATTTTGTCGTTGTAAAAAATAATAAAAAAAAAGAAAATTGTTGCACACAAATTTTATTCACAGTAGAAGAGTGACAAAATAAAAATTATTATTCTAGTGAGCTTCGTATTGTATTGTATAATCCAGTATTTATTATGTATTTTAATGCATAATTGTAACAAAATATATATCATTAAATTTATAATAGATATTTTTGTATCGGTATTTCTTTTTTAAATCTCCTTTTATTATGTATTTTGATACATAATTATAACAAATTATATACCATTAAATTTATAATATGATTTTAGAAGTCTTTCATTTTTTTTCTTTTATTTTTCTTTATGTAAATTATTTGTCTTTGATAAAGTGTGTACA